CTAGGTTTAGAAAAAAATAAACTCGAATGTGTGTGCGTTCACGCGCGTGTGTGTGTGTGTGGGTGTGGGTGGCTGTGTGTGTGTGTATGTGTGTGTGTATGTGCGTGAGTGCAAAGGGGGGAGTGGACGTCAAACGGTGTACCGGAACCATAGGCAGCGGAAACGTAAGTGAGGACTAAAGTATACTTGTGATTGGGAGGGATGGCAACCTTTGTTTTCTTTCTTATTAGTCTGTTATTTCAACGCTTCTTCTTGCTTTTTCCCAGCATTAGATAAGCACAATGTGTGGACATGTTTCTATTTAACGCAACGAAACTAAACCAAGAGTATATATTCATTGACGCATTCTCTATTTGAATCAGATTGAATACAGACGGGCCAATGATTTGAGCTGGCTGGCCACCGGCCGTATCCTGCCGACTGTGACCTCACAAACATTAAACCAGCTCTCTCCAAATCAAGAGTATGTTGTTCGACTGTTGGCCTTGACCTTTTGGCCAGGCAAATCAAAGTGGCCAATGGCAACAGCACAGTTTACTACTGATCCATACGACGGTATGTTGATGTTTTTCTGCAGCTTTTATGATATGCTTCAGTCATGTAATGCTGTGGAGGAGGGGGGGGGGGATTTCATTGTGTTTACTATTAGCACACTACATTAAGCACATTTTTGAATGCTTAGAATGTATAGCTCTTAGTCTAAAACCGAAGAAAGGGATTTTAAAAAAAGAATGTTCCAGCACGGCTCATTTCAGAAAAAAAATCCTTCACTTCTACAGCAATCTTAAAGTTACTTACCAACTGCTTCACAGCAGACGGCACTCTGCTTTCATGAGACTGTTATATGCCGCGCCAAAAGCTGTTCCGATAAAGTCCGCTCCGAAAGCCTCGCTGATTTTCAGTTCCATGAGCGAGCTGCTTACTTTTACTTTTACTTTTCTCCCCGCTTGTACCTGTCGGTGTCGTGGGGAGACACAATCGTTTCTCAGCCGTGTGTCCGGTACCGGTAGTTTGAAGGAGGGTCACGTCGTGGGCTTTATGGTGTTCTTTACAGAGTCGATCCTCCGACATCTTTGTCTCCCTCTGTTTCTCCACCCAGAGCATCTCGACGTATTGTAGACTTTAACATTCTTGTGATGTGACTGAACCATTTTACTCTTTGTTGTTCGACCGTGTCTCTGACAACCTAGTTCCTGATCTGTCTCTCCTGATCTTGATCAATGCACGCGTAAGGCATTTTATCTCGAAAATGGCCAGTTTCCTTTCTTGTAATTTTGGCAAGGAACAAAAATCTGATACAATTCACGTTGGTATGAATATGAAATTGATGAGTTTTGCCTTCGTGAATATTGCGGTAGATATACTGGTGTGTTTCAGTAAGGACGTTAGTTGACAACTGATAACGTTAGCTTTCTGACATCATGTCCTAACTTCACTTTCCAGTTTACTTCTTTGTATTAACATGCCGTCTATATATCTGAATTCCCTAGCTTTCTTCAGTGCAGTTTTCAGGGCGTCGGTGATGCCGACGAGTGTGTCCATATCGCTCCTCACGCAGCGCTGGTCTGTATTACCAGCCTTATCCCTGTTTATCATCGCCTGGTCGTCCACGAACAATAACCTGTCCCCGTGGTTTTATGCACCCCGCATAATTTAGCAAAATTTGATAATTTTTTGCTTAATTTCTGATTATTTTCCTTTATCATTCTTTGCTAAAATTAACAGAATCGCATAATTTCACATTTTTGGGCTCAGTTTGCATAATTTCAGAATTTTTCTTGCATAAAACGACACGGACAGAATAACTCGCTGAGTGCCTCAGGGTCTAGGATGTCTAATTCTATTATCTGACTGATTTATGGGATTGAAAGGCTCGTTTATAATCCCCATCACCTTCATGCTCTTATAAAACTCATACACATTTCGTGGTCCGAGTCCACGTGACTTTTTCATGTTTCCCCCGGATGCCTCGAAGTGCGTGCGCACGTGTGTGTATGTGTGTGAATGTGCATATTTGTGTGAGCGTGAGCGTGTGTGTGTGTGTGTGTGTGTGTGTGTGTGTGTGTGTGTGTGTGTGTGTGTGTGTGTGAGGGAGAGAGAGAGAGAGGGAGGCACGACACGCACGTTTCCTTTGCTTTTTGGTTTAATCAACGTTTTCAAATGATATTCACACTGTGGCTCCTTCGTTTGTCGGTCCGTCTACGATAGAACTGAATACACACCAAGTACATGTATATCAGAGAGCTTGTTAAAGCTACTTACTCAGTTTCGGATGCTGCAATGGTCGAGTCTAAGACTTCTACATTACACGACCGTTTGTTTTTGGTTTTATTGTTGGTTTTTGTTTGTTTGTTTTCTACCACTGCCTTTTCTGTGTATATGTTCAGGGCACAACCAAAAGTTCCTATTTTACTACCCCTGTGTATTTTACCAAAAGTTCCTATTTTACTACCCCTGTGTATTTTACCAAAAGTTCCTATTTTACTACCCCTGTGTATTTTACCAAAAGTTC